TTATAATACCTGCCGAAGGTCTCTCTATCAACAAGTTGTTTAAGCGCTCAGTGATGTGATCAATCAATTCCCTCTCCTAAGTACACGTTTTCCCTGGCGGAAAATATAAAGCAGCCGTAATTATGCAACTGAAAGGTCTTGAAATCCGAGGTGGCATATGAAGTAACCACAGAACCTCTTTGTCACTGGCTCTGATATTCTCCACGCGTATAGTTGGAATAGAGCTGTGGACATAAGCCAACACACCACCGCCTGGAGTAAGTCTGTCTTTGCGAAACACATTAAAAGACTGGCCAATGCTAATAACAGTTGATGGTACACTGTCTGTCAGCCAGGACTCGGTTACAATGGCCACGGTCGCATTATTCATTTCGACGACTCCGTGCAACTCGCCAACTTTATTTGAGACATGGCAGGCATTAGTTATCAAGAACTTAGGTACCTTGGAGGTAATCCTAGTACCTGTAGGGATGTTTATACAGTTCGTCGCTAAATGCCCAGCTCCATATTAGGCTGATTGTACGCACTGATGGGTAGTGATGAACGTGTGAATACGTTGCGAAGATAACATGGCAGCTCGTTGTTTTACCCTGGCTAGAAGAGACTAGCGCCGGCTATGGCTGCACGCCTATTTTTAAGCTGCTAAATTATCTCACTTTTTTCTGCTCATCTCAAGTTATAGTTCTGTATTCTCAAGTCTTCAGTGAAGTTTTCATCCTGATCTCTCTTCTTTCTATCGTCGAGAAGTTGTGCCAGCTTGAATATTGATACCTGTGACTGCGACAACTTCCATGATGGCTGCCCTGACGAAGCGAATTTATTCGTCTGTTTTCCTCATGTCGCTCGCTCTAGTAAATAAAGGTCAAATATTTCAAATTCTGTACGAAATTCTTCAAGAAGTTATTTTTTAATTTGGAGATGAAAATTTTATGCGAGAGTAGTTGGTTGATAAATTGGGCTTTTAACTAAAAAGAGAACGTGGCTTTTATTGACCCAATTTCATGGAATCTTAATAATAAAAATATTCGAATTATATCGAAACACAAATTCCGCTAATTTTCTCTTAGGAAAGGATATTAAATGGTCGAGACCGAAGTAAATTATTGTTTGCTTTATCGTGTCGTACGCGTTTGACTGATGCCACTTTTAAAATTTCAATAAATCAAGACCAACGAGTGTTTAATTACAACAGGAAACCTCGCTCCGTGTCGTCATGATTGCCACAGCTAAAATCAAAGTGGCAAGAGCTGTTAAGAGCGAAGCAACAGCAATGGCAGATGCGATAAAGAATAATGGGTTATGCTTCACTGTATCAGAATCTTTATACGGCTGTGTTCCCACGTTTGGTTTTTCCTGTGGAGTGTCCTATCTGAAAACTACACTGTCATAGGTTTCGCCGTTATGTTCCTGTTTAGATTCCATTTCGAAATAAATGTTCTCCTGCCTGATCTCGATCTTAGTATCCATCATTGGGTGGTGTGATTGTGCCGTTTGTGAAACAGATCAAATTTAGACTCTTCTTGGGGCGAAACATGCTTAGGCAGACCTAAAAGAAGCTGAAATGCGATGCGACATGACCATATGATTATCTCTGATTGACGATAATAGGGAAAGCTGAAAATAGGATATATAATGACAGGAAGTATTTGTTTCAACGTAAGGCTATAGATTGTGCAATAAAGGATTGAACTGACCATAAATGATGATGAAAGCATTATTGAACAAAATGATTATGCTGTCTTTATTTTGATCTATGGTATCACTATCGACCCCACTTTCCAGTGTACAGCGAGATATCAAGGAAGAAGCAAATGAGGTACAGAAAGTTTTGTCTTGATGTTTTAGTCTTCGATGGGCTGAAGTCAAGCCTAAATTAAAATTTTCTCAACTTAAATGATCTACTGGCTTGGTATAAGCCACCTTTGATTGCATTTAATGTTAGGGTGATTTGAGAGGTTGGATGGATCAGTTTCCGAAATAGCTACTTTAAAGGCGTTGAGAAGGATGAGAAAGAAAATATTCAAAAACTCTTCCAAAGCAAGATACTGTAACCATTTTTTCAACATTATTTTCATAGTCCCATCAATCACACAAATCCTTACCTACATTTGGCGGAACTCTTTTTTTGCCCCTTTTTTTAGCACCATGCAATATTAGGCAATTTAAAATGCAGTCAACTGTTTTTGCTCTCAAATTAAGCATTATTTGAATTTCTTGAGCTGGGCCTCCCTAGTTTTGATGCGGGTTGGAGGGGCGAGGGGTTGTGGAATTCGTGCAAAACCCACCCAATCCATTTCACTCGGTTGGAAGAGGGGACGCCATTTTTTCTGCTTCATGAAGTTTCTTCGTCCCAGAGGGTTTCACCGAGCATTATGAATGGAACATCGTTCAAGACCGTCAGTTCCTCGAGTTCAATAGAGCACAACTAAAGTCCTTACTGTGACCCCATTGTTAATTGATTACTTTATGAATTTGAATCAGAGAAATACAACGTTAGCTTTGTTCGACTAAAAAACAATGTTTTGTTTACCAAAGTGACCATGATTCCCAAGAAATGTGTGAGCCGTGTAAAATTATGTGACTTTTACATACTAAATGAAAAACGCACACAAAAATGAAGAAAAGTCATGTTGTTAAGTTAAAATTTTATTTTTTCACATCAGGTTTCCTTTAAGAGCCATATTTCCGACAGTTATAACATGTCAGCCGCTCAAGTAGCGGCGATTTTAGGTGTTATCCACTTGTGGCTGCTATTACTCCTTTTTATCGTAACAAATACCGCTTTTTCGTCCGTTTAGTATGAAATACAATGTGAAACAAAATATGTTTGGAAGCTATCCTAAGGGACTGAAGTCTATATTTAGCGTTGATTAAAATATATGAAAGGAACAGTTCGTAGTAAAACTGATAGGTTTTCTGGCTAACATGGCCTCTTAGTTTCACAAAACTTTCCTCCAGTTCCATCCTTAACGCTAACTATCTCATCGAAACTCTTGTTTTACTTTCATGGACTTTCATTTTTAAGTGATATTTTGGATTTCTTGTACTGAAATTTGATGCAGTCGAGGACAACTTCTCGAAATCGATTTCACGCAAGAAATTGATCAAGATTAAATAATGGATATATGTTATAACAAGGGCGTTGCTGGGGGATTTCCTTGGGTTCTCAGTTACCCGTGTCGTCCCCCCCCCCCCCTTTGTAAGCGCCTTTTTTTTAGGTTATAATGGATAGAACGCGGCGTGAAGGTCGATATGACATATATCTGGTGAGTACCCTTTCTTTGACGCTGTGAGCCCTTTTTGAAAAACCCTGGTTACGCCTTTGTTTAAAGCATGGACAAAGTCTTTACGGGAAAAGACTCAAGATAATTATTTGCAGTATTGACCGAGAGGTAAGAAGGTAAATAAATCAAGGGCAAAAACGACGGGCGCGAAAGTTACTGGTGAATAAGAAACCGAGTTTCTGATTGAAGAAATCATGTACACCTTTGAATGAGTATGGATGACAGCAAAGTCATGCTAATGAAGCAAAGTCATGCTACTTTGTTTGGTTTTGCCTTACTTCGCAATATGATTGGTGTAGAACTGAAACTCACACCATACTTTACATCAGCCAGATTCAAAACTAAATCCTTTCGCGATCTTGGTCACTTGCGTTTTCTCACGCTTAGGGCAGATAACCTGTTGTTACTCCTCCTCCTGATTATACTCCTTTGACTTTCCTTTGATTTTGGTTTTACAACACTCAACTGAAATGCCCTCTCAAAGACGACCTAGTTCACTGGGCATATTTGAAAAATAGAATTAACGTTAGACCACTAAATTGTTCTTCGTCTCGTTTCTGATTCAACACTGTATTATCTTCTTTACAAAGAGTCCTGTTCATTAAATGGCTTTCCGTTTTTCCTCTTATAACTGACGTTCCCAGTATTGCATGTAGCAATACATCGTTGCTTCTCCAATTGTTATAGTACCATCGCAAGAGCACTTGTAGGTTCTCTTTCCAGCTGAGATGGTGCTTAATAATTTAGCAACTTTCGCGTCGTTGGTATCACATCTTACGCCAATAAAGATTTTATCCTGGCAGGAAAAGAACATAATAAATATGATACTGATGATGATGATAAATTACGTCAAGAGTTCGAAATGTGGATGAGCAAAACATTTCTTTCCTCTTCAATGGGTCTACACACGACGTCGCATCAAACAGAATCAAACAGAATCAAATTTCACAATCTTCAACTAAACTTACGTTTGTTTCCGTCGCCGTAGTTTCTTGTTGGGCGATCGAGTTTGTTGCCGTACCAGTGCTGGTTAAAGTCTTAAAAACACAGGAACTGGCCCCGAGTCCAGGTGGACCCTGGGTACCATTGAACCCAGATGGTCCACGAAGACCCTGAACACCAGGTATTCCAGGCGGTCCTGCATGGCCCTGAGTACCATTATATCCCGGAGGTCCGGGAGGTCCGGTAGGTCCAGCAGGTCCGGCAAGTCCAATGTCACCCTTTGTACCATTATATCCTAGAGGTCCGGCGGGTCCGGTAGGTCCAACGTCTCCATTAGAACTGTTGACTCCAGGTGGTCCTCTGACACTCGTGCTGCCAGTAGCAATTTTCACCTACTCAATTAAAAAAAAGCAACAACAACAATGATATTCACAGTAACCATTACCATGATGATAACAATGAAAATGATGACAATTGTAATGACAATGCCAATTGCCGCAATTACAATAAGAATGTCAGTGACAAAGACAGTGACAGTGAAAGTGACAGTGACAGAGAAAGTGACAGTGTCAATGACAATGAAAGTGACGGTGTCAATGACAATGGAAATGAAAATGTTATTTACAGTGACAGTGAAAGTAACAGTAATAGTGACAGTGACAGTGACAGTGACAGTGAAAACAGAAGTGAAAGTGAAAGTGAAAGGTCAGTCAGAAGTTGATTCGAAATTCAGTACGAAATGGCACCCAATAATACATTCAAGTATATGTACCTTTTGATCCAGTTGCATGATTCTTTTTTGAAAATGCAGAAACCTCTCATTTACGCTTGTATTCAGACCAGTCAAAGTTTGGGCAGCATCCTGTACTGCGAGACGGATATCCTCTAGCTCTGTATTTTTGCCCTAAAAAATAAAACGGGCCAAACTATTGTGTTGAACTAGTGGGCTTAAAAAAGTTGGTGAAATTAGTAGAGCAGTCCGCGTTTTTCTTTTGAACATCATGATGATGGGGATTGTAACAGTGAGAGATTCAGGTAACGAAACTGTCACGATTCTATGAACTCAAAAGGGTTGTTTATTGTGCGAACTCGACTGCCGCCACGTGTGTATTCGTTGTCTCCTAAGTCTTCTAAATATAAAGATGTTCATCGGCCCAGTGGCGTGACCGTGTAACGCAATATCACGACATCTTCCCCTTTTTACAAAGTTTATCTTCAAAAGTTAATTAATACTTAATGTTCGGTTTCGATCACTGTTCAAATCACATAAAATCGATAAAACATTGTTCTTCATTGAAATCATAAAAAAATAGAAACAGAACCCAACAACTATTTAGCGGCTCAATCATTCAATGTTCAGTTCATATGGTAATCCTGATGCCACAAAGGCGGTCGACGTCTGCGTTCTGATCGACGAGTTTCAATCCTTTGTGGCTCAAGCTCAGTTCCCATCTCATTTTCAGGTGGCATTCTCTCTGTTTTGGTCTCGCCATGGAACTCCGGTGGAGGAGGTCCTGGCTCTGTCAGATTTGGCGCCGGTTTGAGGGTAGACTCGGGCGGAGTTAGTTCTACCAGACTCATAGGTGGTGCTGTTTCCGGGGTCAGGCGCAGTTGCCGACGGTTGCGTCGGTATCGCCTGCCGCAAACTTCAACTTCATAAGACCTGTTCCCCAAGGTTTTCATGCAGGTCCCCAGACTCCATTCCTCCCTTCCGGGAAGCCGCATCCTGATGGCCTGTCCACACTTTAGTGCCTCTAAAGGGCGAAACTTTTTGTTGTATTGTTGAGCTTGTCTTTTCTTGCGCTCAGCTAATTTGGTGGCTGTTTCCTGGTGTGATGGCTGCCGCAGGAGCGTTTCATGGGTTGGTAAGAAAGTGCGTGTGCGGCGTCCCATCAGTCTCTGTACGGGTGATGTTCCTAGACCCTCTGTTGGGGTGTTGCGCCAATCAAGAAGGGCTAACAGCGGGTCTTGCCCATCCGCTTTCGCTTTCGTCATCAAGTTCTTGCAGGTCTTCACGGCATTCTCGGCGCGGCCATTTGACTGGGGGTAACGGGGGCTCGACGTTCTATGTTCAAACTGCCATTCTCTCGCGAATGCACTGAACACCGATGACGTAAACTGAGGTCCGTTGTCGGTAATAAGCACGTCTGGTATCCCATGGCAGGCGAATTGTACTTTACACGCAGCTATCACGCTAGCAGATGTGGCCACCTTAACCTCCTGGACTTCAAAGAACCCACTCCAGTAGTCGACTAGGACAAAGAAATGTTGTTGCCCAAGGTCAAAAAAATCGGCACCTAGCATCGACCAGGGACGCGACGGGATCGGATACGGTTGCAATTCCTCGCGGCACTGATCTGGCTGGTGCGACTGGCAGATTGAGCATTTGGAAACAAAGTCCTTTACTTCCGAATTCATGAGGGGCCAATAGAGGACCTCCCTAGCGCGACGTAAACACCCTTCGATTCCAATATGTGATCGGTGAATTTGCTTCAACATTTCTTTTCTCAGGGAAGGGGGTACCAGCAATCGCTCCCCCAGGAATACTAGTCCCTTGTCTTCTATAAGCTCACTTCGTTTGTCATAGTAAGGCGTCAGCTCAGGGGTACAGGACTTCCTTGACACTGGCCATTCACCCTTGATTGCTCCGATTAGCTTTTGCATCACTGGGTCCCTGGCAATCTCGTTTCTGAATTCAGCGAGCCTGTATGGTGCAATCGAGAGGTTTTCTGAATGATCTATCTCGGCAAGTGTACAGATCAGACTTGTATCGTGCTTGGAGGCTTCGGTGGTGTTGCGGTATGCTCGACTCAGTGCATCTGATACCCACATAAGTTCCCCTTTTTTATACTGCACATCCAGGGAGTAATTCTGAAGGGCCATCAGCATTCTCTGGAGTCTCTTTGGTGAGTTGTGTATTGGCTTGGTAAAAACTGCCCTTAGTGGTTCGTGGTCAGACTCGATGTGTACAACTTCGCGTCCCAGTATGTATTGATTGAACTTGTCGGTTGACCACACTATGGCGAGGAGCTCTTTCTCGATTTGAGCGTAACGCGTTTCGGTGTCGATCAGAGCTCGCGAGGCAAAGGCAACAGGCTGACCCTTTTGCATCAGTACTGCACCTAGACCCGTTATGCTGGCATCGCATTGGATTGTCACTTCTTCAGTAACATCATAGTATTTCAGTACCGGGGCCTTGGCCAAGTATTCTTTGACTGTGGTAAATGCTTTCTCATGCTGTGCAAGCCAACACCACTCGACGTCCTTGTCCTCAAGCCTTCGCAAAGGTTCTGTCATGTCGGACAGGAGTGGCAAGAATTTGGCCAGATAATTGACCATCCCCAAAAACCTCTTCAGGCCTTTCACATCAGTCGGCGGTGGCATATCCAAAATAGCTTCAACTTTGGCTGGGTCTGCCTTTAGACCATCAGGAGTCAAGAGGTGGCCCATGAAACGCACTTCGGTTTGAGATCTTTTCAGCTTGAGTTTGTTGAGCTTGAGGTTCCACTCCCGGCATTTCTTGAAGAACGCACGTTCGTTCTTTTCAAGGCTCGAGTTGACCTCTGCGTCAGTTTCGCCAAATCCAGCGATGAGGAAGTCGTCAGCGATAACTTCAACTCCTTCTAAATTTTCTACGAATTCATGCATGCGTCGCTGCCAAACTTCAGGCGCACTTGAGATACCAAAAGGCATGCGGGCCCATCTATAACGCCCAAAAGGCGTATTGAACGTTGTCAGGAAACTAGAAGCATCGTCTAAGAGGATTTGGTGGAAACCATCCTTGGCGTCACAAAGAGTGAATTTCTTGGCACCTGTTAAGCGGGAGGCCACTTCATCGATAGTCGGCAACTGGTAATGCTCTCGCCGAATGGCACGATTTAAATCTCTCGGGTCAATACAGATGCGTACTTTGTTTGGCTTCACTATGGCCAACATGCTGGATACCCACTGCGTCGGTTCGGTTACTGGAATAATAACTTTACGATCAACAAGTTCGTCCAGCTTGTTTTTGATGCATGGACGCAAGGCTACTGGCACTCGCCTCGGTGCGTGGACAACTGGTTGCGCCTGTTCGTCTATGGCTATTTTGTATGTTCCCGGTAGGGCCCCTAATCCGTCGAATACGTCCTCATACTCTTCGAGCAAGGAGGCTTCGGGACACTTGACGTGTAATGCTAGGACGTCACAATTATGCAAACTCACAAAGCCAAGATTGAGGCTGGTGTTCAATGATAAAATCGGTTGATAGTCTCCGTCTAAGATGTTAAACTCCATTGACCTCCGCTGTCCACGGGACCACACAGGCAGGGTAGCTTTACCAGCAATTTTGCGGCGATCCCCTGTGTACGAGACTATTTCCTTTTGGCATGGTTTGAGGCGATGAAGGAGGGTGTCCCCAGTGATTTGCTTGTATAATTGGGCCGGGAGAATGTCGCACTGCGACCCAGTATCTATTTGAAACTGGACTTCTGTCTTGGGATCTGGCCCATAAATGTGGAGTTTGACCACTGCCAATTTTTCCTGGCCTTTGCTCTTACTAGTAGTAGCACCAATGTAGTAGGGGTCGTTTCCCATGTCGACGGCTTCGTGGACCGCCGAAACTCTACTTTTCACTCCTCGGGGATTAGCGCGACATTTATTCGCAAAATGATTCATACTCCCACAGTTAAACATGTTCTTCCATACGCGGGACAATGACGTCCATGCACCATTCCGCAATTTCCACATTCTTTAGACGGTCTTCTAAATGCTTGTGACTTAAGTTGTCGTTCTTCTTCAGGTTTTTTTTTGCCGATCCCGCCTTCCGTAACGCATGAACTGCAGTGTCTCCTCCAGCCATTAGCTTTACTTGCTGTTGGGTCTGTTCTGACGACTTAATAATGTCAACTGCTTGTAGGAGAGATAAATCATTCAAACGGAGAAGTCTCTCGCGGACGCGATCATCCCGTATGCCTAGCACGAGGCGGTCACGCAAAATTTCATCTGGTGTGATTGTATCGTGTGCACAGTTTTTTGCGATCGTTCGAAGCTCCGTAAGATACGTCGAGATGTTTTCGCCTGGTTCCTGGTTTCGGTTGTTGAACCTATAGCGTTCATATATGACCTGTGTCCTAGGAATGCAGAATTCGTCGAACTTCTTCAGGACTTGTGAAATGTCGTCTGCGTTTTCGTCTTCGTTCCAAATAAAGGTATCGTGGGCTCTGACGCCATCCTCGCCTATAATGCTTAGTAATGTCGACACACGAACTATGCCCTCTTGTTTATATACACCAGTAGCGATTTCGTAGCGCTGCCACGCTGCTTTCCACGATTTCCATGCGGTGGCTAAATTGTCGTCAAAATTAAGCGCTTTCGGCGGGGGCAAATTTGACGGGGGAATAAAAACTTGATTCGGCGCTGGTGGCACAACTATGGATGCTTCAGCTGCTTCTGTCATCTTTAGGGGTGAACAGATCCCACTCCTGACACCATGTCACGATTCTATGAACTCAAAAGGGTTGTTTATTGTGCGAACTCGACTGCCGCCACGTGTGTATTCGTTGTCTCCTAAGTCTTCTAAATATAAAGATGTTCATCGGCCCAGTGGCGTGACCGTGTAACGCAATATCACGACAGAAACTTACCTCGTTTTTCATGTTTTCCATTTTTTCTTCCATCTACCATAAAGTAAGAAACTCATGTTAAACTCAGCGCACCTATATTATAGTGATTTTTTAATATAGATGGAACTGGAAATGGATGAATTTAAACTTGCCTTTATCTCTAGCTCCTTC